CAGATATCTACTGCTTCCACACCCCCTCTTCATGGGGCTTTTATTCCCCATGTTTCCCTTCATATATTGGATCGCCCCTTTAGTTTCTACGCATAGCCCTCTGCCCTGGACTGTGCACTCATCTGGCATCAGGGTCCTCTACACCCAATCTGATCTGGTTTATTTGTTCAAGGCCTATCCACCATTTATTTGATAATAAAGATAATTTAGGATTTTGTAGCAGCAATCGTTGCCTACTTTACCCACGAGCCCTCTCCTGTTTTTACGTGCTAAAAGTAATCTGATTTCCTTTGGGAATCCACTCTTCTCCCATGTGATTCAAGGTCAATTCTTAATACTAAGTGATATTTTTTTTAGAAGAGAAGCCTTTTAGTACCCATGAAATACCCCCTTTCACTCCATTTAAAGACATCGATCCATTGGGAAAAAAAACAGTAAAATTTTTGTTAAAAAACATTAAATTATGAATAAGAATTGCTTACTTGCTACTATATACATATGTCCAAAGCAAACATTGGGCTTACAAATGAAGATTTTACTTAAAAGACAGCTGTTTAATATTTATAGTTGTATTTTTACCTAGGCATGAAACAGCCAGAAAACTATTTTACTTAGTTATATCCTAATTGCCTGTTACAGATTTTAATTATATAATAATATCAAATAATCCATCCCACTCAAAGTGTATATATATATAGATACATATTTCATAGACAGATCAACATAATTATATATGAAAGCTGGAAAAGTTCCATTATTTTATGAAGTTTTACGACTTTATTAAATGATAATCTTGTCTACCCCAAATTTTAAACTGCTGCCTTTTTTAAACTTTATATATGTGGTCTGCACTATTGCGGATGTCATTTTCCCCTTTGTCCTTCTCTACCCAGGCCTCACCCCTGCTCCCTCAGGCCGTCACCCCGGTCTTCCCCGTGTGCGTGGGTCAGGCATGTTTGTTCTTTGCCAAACCTCCTCATCATCTTTCATCCAGTCTTCCCCCCAAGTCCCTCCCCTCTGACAGCTGTAAACTGTTGCCCTTTAAAGGCATGTTTTCCTTTTCCTTGTAGAACCAAGGTAACAGACACACCTGTGTTATGAGACCCTAATTAAGAATACAAAACAGCCAGTGCAACTGGCTTTTTTTGAGGAGAAGGTTTTAGAGACACTCCTTGACCATTTTAGGTTTGGAAGCGCAACGACCAGTGTGACCTGAATAGACACTGAAGTCTCCAAAAGGCACTTAGGGAACAACCTGAGAAACGCGAGGGTAGTAAATCACTGTAGCCGTGGGGGGCATTCCTCTCGGAGCTCTATAAAGCAGAGTGTGAAACAGCAGACCAGGCAGACAGGGACATGTAAACACTCTAGTGCACCCAGGATACACGCTAACCTCACACTGCCTTAGAAGCAGTGATGCCATCATTTTGACCACCGGTCCCTTTGGTTTCATTTGGTTGCAGAGCTCATAATTTTGACTGTTCTCACAAAACTAAAAGAAGAAATATTTTACTTACTCTTTAAATTGTTGGTACTCGTTTCGCCGTACGTGGCAATGAAAGAGATGCACGTTTCAGAGCTCTCCAGGGAATTGAAAAGTAGGGACAGACGCAAGACCCAGCTTTGGAGTAACCAGAAATGCCATCTTCCTTCTGCCTCAAAGCTGTTCCCAGGAGACCTTTTTATTCACCTCAACAAGTTCCAGGTGGTACCACTCTGCTGATGCCTCGTGCTCAGGGACACCTGTGGGAGTTGATGGACAGAATTCCGGGGAAAGAAGCTGCTGGTAAATAGGCAGAAGCAGCTAGTGACACAAAAGCTTATTACTAGAATAGTCAGGTTACCCTGGAAGGAATCTGATCAACGGTTGAATTCTTCTGAGGATGATCTGGCCACCCTTCATCCAGTGTTTTTTCCTCGAATATTGCAGACGACCCCCTGGTGGCAAACTTACTTTCTCATCTGGGGAGAAAGAGATAAAAGGAAGATACTGGAAATTCTAAACGCAGTGGCTGTTGCTCAGATCTCACTTAGCAGGGCCACAGCCATGTCTTCCACTGGACTAATAGGTAATTCCACGTAAATATCCCACTGGTGTCAGTCCAAACCTGAAACAATCACCAGTGTACTCAAATTAAGATGAACTCTGAGTTATCCAAAGTGGCTAATTCTAAGAACATTTGACTCAGGGAGTCTTTATATAAGTGTGGGCAGTTGTAGGAAAACTGTAAGGGGCAATCCAGTAACTCAGGAACTCAAGGCTGTAACAGCTGAGCCCTTGGAACTACTAGTCCTGCAGAAAAAAAGAGAGGGAATGTTTAATGGAATCCAGAAGGCGAGTTTCACTGGAACAGGCCACTGACAGAAACAGTGACAGTTTGTCAAGGAAAACACCCAGCCCAAGGTGGGCCCTCCCAGAGGGACTGAAGGGAATATATTTCCCACCCCCTGTCATTTCTCATCATTGACTGAACCCAACTGGAAGCCAACTGTATCGCATATAGTTCAGCCTCCTGCAATGTGTAAGAGGTAGATAAAGGTGAGAACAGATCTGAAAATCAGTGGCATGCTGCCTTTTTGCGTTCCGAGTGGATCATCCTCCTGTATGAGCCAGTTTTCCGAGTAGCACCACGGTTCACCCCGTTGTGTAAATCAGAACCCCATTCTTCACCCCTGTTCCTGCCATCATTTTCACAACATCAATTCTCTGCAATGTGTGATCCCAAATCCCCATCTCTCTATTTGTGAAATATTTATGTTCATTCCATTTTTCTCATATCACTACTAGTTCTCTCACTCCCCTCTACCATTTCTTAGCAGCATCTATTATTTTCAGAAGTCACTTTCTTCACTTTTTTGGTTTTTGCATCTCTGAGAGGACTTTGTTCAGCACTATATCTCCAATATCTAACATAGGGTCTGGCATGCACAGTGACTCAATAAATACATGATGAACATATCAATTAACGTGGGCCTTCAATACTTAGCAGCCAAACATTACGGTGCATTTTTCGGCAGTCTCCTTTGCTGCCTTCAGTCTTCGCTGTCATTTACATGTCTGCCAGCATGCATTTTCTCATTCCTAAGTCTGAGGATGCCATTACCTTCTTTAAAATGATTTTTCAGCACTGTATAGACTTCCAAATGAAGCAGCTGATTTATTGGACAATCTTTATTGAACATACCTTATATGTAAAAGAATGGAAATCAGAGATGAGCCAACAGATTCAATCAGAGTGCTTACAATCTGCTGAGAGAAACAGTAATGAAGAATAAACTGCACTGAGGTGTAGTAATATAAGGCAGGGGCAGCACTGAGCAAAGAGCACCTGCCTGCTGGGTGGGAAGAGGCTGTGAGGAAAGGCTTCCCAGGGGACAGAAGAAGTTCACAAGCCACAGTGGGAGTGTCTCAGCTCCTTAGCCTCATGTTTAAGGACCTTCGGTGTCTCAGTCCTGATGAATATCTTATATTCCTTGTCCCCCATTTTTTTTAAATTTGGACTTCCAGCTCTAGAGACGGCTGACCGTTCAGAGTTCTCTAAAGGCTCCATGCTGAGTCCTGCTAGGCGGTTCTGCCCAGCATGGCCTCCTTCCTGCTGGCCTGGCAGATGCATCTGCTTTTCAGGGAGCTATTCTCCTTCACGCTCTGTCCTCCCCTTCTCTGCTCAGTGCAAACACATTTCTAAAAGCAACTTGACTTCTTCCCACAGTTTTCCAGAGGTGAGTTCATGGGTTCCCAGGCATTAGCAAGCATGAATTAAATAGCAGCTTTGGGCAGGGAAATGCCCACATTCTTTTCTCATTAACTTAGAGAGTTAACAGCCCCTGGAATATGGAGAACTCCTTGAGGAGATCTGTGACTCACCAAATCATTCTTCCCCATTTTAAAAGATAAATGGTGGCTTTTTTAATTACTCTGAGTAAACCCAGCAAATGTTAACTTCAAATTTAACTGAATGTACCCAGTTTGATCCACAGTGTAGTGAAAGCAATAGATGACACTACACAGAAAATGTCTGACCTTTAATTGTAAATATATTATTTGTATGCTTGGGTTATTAGATATTTGTGCCTCTGTGCTACTGTAGATAAAAAGAAATATCTCATTTATTCTTGGCAATGGGTACAAATATGATTACAGACAGTTCAAAAGCACATATGTATCAAAAACTTAATAAACATCTTTTCTACAATTTTCTAATTACAATTATACTCTGATGTGAAATCAAGCCAAAGTAACAATATGGAAACAATATAGAAGGGAACAACTGTTACTTTTTATTACAGAAGTTCATAATTAGCATAGAGAAAATTAAGTTCATAAACAAAATGCATTACCATTGAAATGCACACTGATTTTTCACCCAAAGCAGTTGCTTTAAAGCTTTGAGTATAAAATAAAGATAAGTTAAAAGTTAAAGTTCAACAAAATTCAAATTTTAAAAATCCAAAAATACCACTTTCGATTTTCAAGACTAATCATCTAACCAAATATATTTAGGAGTTTAAAGTCAATGCTAATAACTTAGCTAATGATTTGAAAATAGATATACAAATAACAAACACACTATAATTTTTAGTTAGCATTTTCTTTTTGGTGAGTTAATGAAAATTTATATAATTGAGCAGAAAAAAAACCCTGCTAACTGTGTCATATTGTGATGCAACTAATAACCATTCTGTGGATTCAACTGTATCATGAAATAAATCATGCAGAGTGTAATTTAGGTAACACTGTAACACTTTTTCCTTTCAAGGGCAATTTTGTAATTCTGTATCAGGGTCCCTAAAAATAATACTGTATATTTATACTTAAACATTTTCTTAAGAAAAAATAAATCGACACTTGCCATATTATTATACCTTACATTGTTATACTTAATGATCCAATATCATTAAATCCATCTCAACATTTTCTTTATTGATGATGAACAGGATATTCTGTTGACTGGCTATGAAGACTCGCTTGAAAGGAAATGATTGTTAATGATCCAAGACTCTTAATGAACCATGAGTCTTCCGGGTATTTGGACTGGTGAGGGATCTCTGGTTTGACATGGTATTCTGGAGGTTCTATATAAAAGTAAAAGAAAAAGTTAACAGTATGCCATTTTAAAGATTTTATAAATGTATGTGTGCTTATATTGTTGGATGGATCCTGTGCCTGGAGGTGAAACCAATCATTTTCCTGAATGTAAAGAACCAATAGGTGAGTATGCTATGGTCCTTCTAAGAAGTATCTGGAATTGAACTATGATTTCCAAGTAATCATTTTCAAAAAGAAAAAGAGTCCTTTCTTTTCTCAAATATTTTTTGTTTGAAAGTATTGGTTTCTACAAATTTCTTTGAAGATTTAGGGCTGTTTTAACTTAGTATGAGATGAAACAAATACAAAAATTTCAATCTTCCCTGCAGAAAGGCGTTCATGTGGATTAGACCTGACTACAGGTGAGTGGCATTCAGCCCCCTTTCACCGAGCAGGCACTATCTCTCTGCAGAGGTGGGAGAACACAGGTTTCCATGTTAATGATGCTTCTGTTTTGCTTTATTCTTTCTTTCTATGACTGCTTTTACTTTCATCATTTACTTAACCCTGAGTGTGGATCTTTCAGATCACATGTGAGGATGGATTTTCAATTGGATGGAAAATGATTTGTAACTAAATGTAATATGCTTAACAATATGACTGATTTCTTTAAAATAAATATTAGAGTAAATTCAAGATTTCTGTCTATACCACCCTCACTGTCATCCAGGTAAGGGATGTTCCTGTGTCTGCAGGCAAGAAGAGCAGTAAAGTTACACCAATGCACAGGGAATTTTAAATGTCCACCACCTTGTTTTTCTGTGGCACAACAGTCATCTGTCAAAACCCATGGGCCTGAGTGACAGATGTGAATTTTATACATTATATGTGAGGCTAAAAAATAAAGATTGAGAACCATTAAAATAAGATTTTTGCAAAAGACCATTTGTGCTCTTCTGAAACAATAGGTCTGTGATGGAATGTGCAGACAGGCCCAGTAACTGAACTCTCAAATACTGCAAACCAAATAAAGGGAAGTTGAATAAGTTCCAAATGCCATTTCCCTCTTGAAACTGACTCTAATTATATGGCCTTGGACTCTCAGAGTCCAAGGAATATCTTCTCATACAAATACAACTTCTAAGGCCATTGGGAAAAGCAGTTTGTTTTAGTATTGGTATTGGTAAGCATCAAGTTAAATGTTTAGAGAAGTTGGATTAAACAAATGGATATATTTAGCTGGCATTGCTATTAAAAATAAATGTTACTGAATGTTCATGGGCACAGCATACACTCTCTACGTGCCTGCCCCTTGGCACTGCCATATTCCTCCCCACTTCAGTGTCTCATTTATCTGCCACTGTGTCCAGGACGTGAAGCCTGAGGTTTCTGGGAGCAGCACGCACACATGCGTTGTGTAGTTGGCTGTGTCTCCCCCTGTGGGTGTCACAAAAAGGGAAATGCCCATTGCCTCTGGTACTCTCTAGGCTGAGTCTTACTGACAAATGTATCTTATGTTTGTATATATGTAATGTATATGCACACACTTATATATAGTTTCTTTATGATAAACTATATACAAAGATACATATAGGTATAATGAATTAGAAAATCAACATCACTGATATTTAAATGAGGTTATTTTTTTTAATTAAAGTAAGCAACTGCACACCACTTTACATCAATTTGTAGATGATAAATAGGTAGAAGGTTTTAAAACCCTGACATTTAGAAATCTAGAGATTACTGATCTTAAATCTCACAAGCCTGCTGGAGCATTACTGCATTTGAGCAATGAAGGCAGCCAAGAAAAAAAAATATTTGGAAAGAGTGGATTAATATCAGGCAGAAGTAATATCTTTCTAATGGTACCCTGTGAGGCCTCAAAATTATACAAGCCTTAATGCTTGCATATTGAAACATGAGTAAAATTCATTAGAATGTAAGGAATTAGAATGAAGAGTAAATCTTTAGGCAAATATAAACTGTATGAAGTGCACAACAGGTCCATTCTGTAAACTGATTATTCCTGCCAGTGATTGAATAGGGAAGGCAGCAAAGGTCAACTTGGATTTTGTATGAAAACCAGGAGAAGACTGATAACAATTTAATTGGGAGAACAATACATCTGTGCCTGCAAAATGCAATTCCCCTATGATCATATTTCTCTTCCATATGAAGGCTCAGAGTACTGTTTCCACAGACCCAGCCCACATTAAAAGTTGATTTAGTAGGTCTTAACAGAGAAGCATTCATTCTCAGGCCCTCTGTGAGCCCTGCCACGGCGAAATGCGCTCTAATGGGGCGGACTCAGCTTCAGCCCAGCCCTTCCGCGTGGTATCCAGTTACCTCAGCTTGATCGCAACCAGGAGGATTCCACAGGTGACTGTCATGCACACGACAGCATATATCACTTCATCTGGAGACAAAAGATTTTTAAAAGTTACTGGATTTCTCGAGAGAATAAATAATAAAAAGAATAGTACAGAAGTTTGATTTTTAACTGACTGTTGAAGGGGGAATGAAATCCACTTAGAGTTATTTCCTCTGTATGTTTACTTTTATGCAATGCAATGCCTTTGACATTGGACAGAGTTGAATAATCTGAAAGAAAATAAGGAAAATGAGATTAAAGCATTTAAAGGTAATGCATAGCTTTTATCCCATGGGTTGTAATTTGCTTTTTAAGGCAGCAACTTATTTCTATGATACTATTTTAATGAAATATAATAGGTTAGGGTAAACTTTTCTAAAATTCTGACAGCTTTTTTCACCTTTTAATCAGATAATTTCCTTATAGAAACTTTTTTCACAGCATGACTAGAGACCATATCACATTTTATAAAATATTCATATAGACAAGGAGAAAAAATAGTAACTTTAGGCTGTTATTGGGATATAAAAAGGGATTCCTTCTTTACGAGGGTGATTGTTTTAATGTACTTTTAATGATATGTCATTTCCCTGAGACCCATTGTATTTACGAATTTTTTTAAAAATTTATTTATTTATCTTTAGAGGGGAAGGGAAGGAGAAAGGGAGAGAAACGTCAATGTATGGTTGGCCTTTGCGCATCCCCTGCTGGGAACTGGCCTGCGACCCAGGCATGTGCCCTGACTGGGAATCGAACCACGATTGTCTGGTTCGCAGGCCCGAGCTCAATCCACTGAGCTACACCAGCCAGGGCCCTACTTATGAATTTTTACAAAGGAGAATCCTTAAACCCGCCACTGTGTTCACCCCTCTGCTCAGACATTTCAACATACAGATTTACTTATTCCCTGTATTCTGTTTCCCCCTTTTAACCCCTTCAGCCTCTATTGATGCTACTGGTTTTATCTCACTTACCGGCTCCTCTTGACCACTCCGTGACCCTAGTCTTTATGGCCACGTTTGCAAAACAAAGTTTCACTTCGCTTCACAAAACACAAAACAAAAAGATGTGATCCTTAAAATTAATCAATAGATCTATTTTCAGGTGATTTTTACTAATAACTCTGAAGTGAAACCACCTTTAGTTTTGATTCAGTTCCACACAAATATTGCCAAACATACCAATAACCCCAAAACCAATTTCTCTGATGACAGTGATCCAGGGGAATTTGGGGGCTTAAGAAAAATAAGGTAAAGTCTTCACTTGATGGAGGCTTTCCTGTCTTGTTTCAGGTGCCTTATGCATTTGGGGACTTAGAAGTCCAAGTATGAGTAGTCAGTTTTTTTGCAGAAATGAGTATATCAAGTAGCAGGATAATATGTCCCATGACAACCGGTGACAGCAGGGTCTGAGGAAGAGGGTGGAAAGCTCTATTCCTGACAGTCCCCATTAGTTCTCTCTCTGCCCAGGCCTGCTGCTGTTCCGAAGCCAGCTCCTTGGAAGCCAAGGTTTGATAAGCCTGGGGTTAAGGATTATCCCTATTACCCTAATTACCAAGGTTTGATACTAAGGATAATCAGATGAAAGCACAGGACGGTCAGTTTCAGATGAATAACCGAAGCCCCCCACCACCCCCTGCATCCAGAAGAAGCAGCCTAATATAAAAGCTAAAAAAGTAATGAGGATCTTGTCATTAAAAACCCATTCTCAAGGAGTCTAAACTCAATACAGTTAAGACATTTTTAGTTCAAGATTTTTTAATCCCCAACTCACAAATTGGGTTATCATGTAATATTTGTAGAAGTTGGGCCTTCTTAAAACTAAAAAAAAAAAAAATCAACTTCTTTTAAATGTAAAAGTAACAGAGGTAGAGCTTGTGGGAAATTTTCATTATTGTGGTTACAAAATATATTTTGTTATTCACTATAACGTTGAAATGAAAAAGTTCAGCTGTTTCCAATAATACTACTTTTTATAATAGTGGTCCCTTTTGAAAGAATTAATTTTATTCAAATTGAACATACAAATATTTAGTGAAATAAATTATTATAATACAATATTATGTTTAAATAAAATTTTAAAATAAAGGAAAAATTATTTTGCTTCTTTTTAATTCAGTGGCATTTTGTCAGGTTCATAGCCTACATGTAAATGCATTTAATGTACATTGATTATTCAAGTGAGGCTATCATTTTCTTTTTGAAGTTTTACCTCTAAGTACATTTGGTCTAGTTAGATATCATGATTTACCTTTGCATAAGAAAAAAGTATTATTTTGACAAATTATACTACCCTTTCGCTCTATAACTGCCTAAAGTAATTGTTAAACATTCACCTAGCAAAGTTTAGAAAGAATCATCGCATTCACTAAATTTAGCTCACATGGAACTCATTAACAAGGTTATAATAGATCAATGACAGAAATGCTAGCTAATGATCCCAGTGAAAATTTTAATGTGTCTAGCAATCACTCCGCAATCTTCAATATTGCACCCTAGGAGGATACCAAATATCAGTTAGTGAGATTAATGTTACAGAGGGTTTCTTGGCTACTGAAGCCCATTGGAGATTCTTCCCGGCCTTTTATAAACAGTGAGGTTTACAATGTTTTATAACTATGAAATTAAAGTCGGCAGAGTTAATAACCCACCTCAGCCCCACACCATCTGCTATATTTATAGATAAACACTGTCAGTGACTTGTTTATCTTGACTCGTTCCCTAGAGGAATTAAACACTATTATGAACTACATTGTAAAATCCCTGTACATTTGACGGGAAATCAAGATTAATTTCAGCCGTACATTAAGAACAAATTTAAATAGTATTCTCCCCAAATGAGCTGCAGAGATGTGATTATTTCTATGCTTTTCTTCCAAAGTCCTTGTGCCGAAGTGGCTGATGGAGACTAAAATTCTACTTTGTATAATTTATATGAAGTGGTAAGTGCAATGTACACAATGTGGTAGATAATATATGAAATAGTGTTTTAAAAATAGATGTCAGAATTCTTGAAATGGACATTAAACATACCACAAACTGAAAGTGTATAAACCTCCAATTAAAATTTTAATTAAAACACAACCTGGAAGATTTTGTTTAGAAGAAATATTTTCATAGAATAAGTGAGAAAAATTCTGTAGCTGTTTTTTAATGGTTAATGTATCATGTGACATTGTTATTACTGTTATTTTTTGCCTTTCTTTTCATGGTTAAATATAAGAGCAACAATACTGGGCAATAGCTTAGTGAGAGTGAAAACCAAGAATGACCTTTTTGCATATCCAAGGGTTGGTGCTGTTTACCAGACTTAATATATTAAATTTCTAATTTGTCAAATATTGTCCTCTCTGAAGATATACAAATTCCCAAATAGAAAATGAGTTTTGAATTATTTCATCTAATAATCAGGGGTGAAACTGCATATAACATGGAGTCTTTTGATCATCGTTGTCTGAAAGCCCCCATCTTAAAATGGATCTCAGAAGGACTGATGTTGGGAAAAAAGAAAAATACATAAGCATTCTTTAAGTCTGAAAAAAAAAACCACATTAGTAATGCGATAAGCCAAGGTCTCCACACAGATAATGGGAATATAATACCATTGCCACTAACGCTTACGTTATAAAACTAAACCTGCTAACAAATACACTTATCCTAGACAATCATGATCTGTGCCGATAAGGCAGGTTCGCAATCTTCAATAAAGATAAAAACACGTCTTAGGTCTACTTTCTACACTGTGGCAGAACCCATGGTGGTTGCCAGTCAGGGGTTGCAGGAAGGGGAAACTTGGAGGTATTGGTCAGAAGTGCAAAGTTTCAGTCCTGCAGGGCGCACAAGTCCTAGACATGTGCTGTATGCTGTGGTGTCTATTGTTAGCAATACTGAATTGTACCCTTAACATTTTTCTGAGAGGGTAGATCTCATTTTAATTGTTCTTATCACACACACAAATAATGAAGAGGATGGAAGGAGAACTTTTGGAGGAAACATATATGTTTTGGGTATAGATTATGGTGATGGTTTCATTGTGTGTACTTGTCTGCAAACTCATCAAGCTGCAGGCATCAAATATAGGCAGCTTTCTATAGGCAAAAAAAAGTAAGGAACAACAACAACACATCAATGAGGAAGTATACACGCCAGAACATTTGTCTTGATCTTTTGACCTGAGCCAAAAAGCTTAGGGTTCATAAATAACTATACAGATGGTCCCTGGCTTATGATGGTTTGACTTAAGTTTTTTTTTTTACTTTACAAAGGTGCCAAAGTGACAGAGGTTTAGTAGAAACTGTAGTTTGAATTTTGATCTTTGCCTGGGCTAGTGAACTGGGCAGTGGCAGGGAAAGGGTTTTGCCCAACTGTGGGCTAATCAGTGTTCTGAACACGCTTAAAGTAGGTGAGGCTAAGCTATGGGGTTTGGTAAGTAAGGAGTGTCAAATGCATCTTCAACTTATGACATTTTTACTTTATGATGGGTTTGTTGAAACAAACACCATTCTAAGTCTAGGAACATCTACTGGCAAGGCTGGCAACTGCTCTTTGACCCTCGGTTGAATGACAGTGTTGTTCACATGTCTAGTAGATACGCTTGGTGATTATAGTGAGTTTCAACTGCACTAATAAAATCTCCTAAATGTTCTACATTCTCCTTAGTAGTTTCTGCAAACAATGAAATAGTCATTGAGGTGGCGATGGGCATGCAAATTATGCTATTTCTGACAACTAACACTAGATTAGAGCAATAAAGTATTATGGTTTTAGAAGGCAATAATTTTAAATCTTGGAATTAAACATGTAGCTTTGGGCTCAAACATATCTAAAGATATTGATAGAAAATAGTAATAGAATATTCCCAGTTAGAGCATATGCGTACATCTATAAATACAAAGTGTGTATGCATAGTAGAATTACAAGACTGGCTGACACTTCTTAGATAATCTAATTTAAACTTTCATTGTAATGGTCCATTCTGCTTTATTCTTGACAGATAGTCATTACCATTCCTGCGATGAGCTATTTAATACCTTTATACATTTCCACTACAACGGATGGTCAGTTCTAATAAAAATAGAAAATTTCTAGATTGCTCTTTTGTCAACTCAGAATAATAAATCTACTTTTTTTGGTATCACTGCCTAGCTCTCTGGCTGCTTCGTGTACGTGTGTGTTTGTGGAGAAAAAGAGAAAGAGTGAGAGAGAGAGAGAGAGATCACACTATGAGTGTA